CGTTGTTTTACACAGCTGATTGCATTCATACAAACACTTTGATTCTGTCTGGCTATTCAATGGCCATTTGACATTTGACTCTTAATGCATATACTGTTCTTGTGACACTTCTTTGTGGTAACACATTTGCTAATGGCCCTTGGCAGAAATACCAGAATACTGAAGTAACTTTACTAGATCACAGTACAGAGATATTCAAAACGCTCCACTACCTTAGCAATTTACTGCACAGCATCAAGAACCCCCTTGGCACACGGGACAACCCAGCACGCATCTGCAGGGATTTGCTTCATTGTGAACATAAAGTGTCCGATGGTAAGTGCCCACTTTCACACAAGTACCTTTCAAAGGTGCTGCTTCCAAATGTTGCTTTCTACATTAAAGTTCTGATCTGATAGATTTTATGTTTTTACTCTTTTTTAGTGTATTTTCTTGCCTGTCACAAATATATTTATTTAATCGTTAAAATAAAATTTCTGAATTTTAAAGGTAGAAGTATGTAGCTATATAATATATAAATATTAGACAGAAAATATCTATCAATAAACAGATTTATGCAGAAAATTTGAAACTGAATGCAATTTTGTGGTTTGAAGTTTTCCAATTATTTATAGCCAATCTTGCAAGATTCAAGATTCCTGATGAAAAAAATTACATACTGTACATTACCACTGTCAGATACACTGACAGTCATTGTATCTCAGGAGTTCCTGAATCAATATTTAAAAAAAAAAAAAAACCAAAAAAAAAAAAAAAAAAAAAAAAAAAAAAAACAACCAAAAAAACCCCTCCTATTTAAAGCTGTCAGTGTAATTGTAGTCAGAAGTGATTTATTGTGGTAATTTTTCTCAGTATCTATTATTAGTGTAATTTTAATAGTGAAAACATTTTCATGTTCCTTTCATTTCCTTGTGAAGGTATAGTGATAATATATGTAATGTTTGCCAAGAAGTATGAATATTGTAGCAAATTTCTTAGTAGTAATTATAGTTTGGTTTTATTTTCTGTCTGGAATGATATACTGATAGGAAAATACTGGATTGACCCAAATATTGGATGTCCTTCTGATGCCATTGAAGTTTTCTGCAACTTCACTGCAGGTGGTCAGACATGTTTAACACCACTGTCTGTGACAAAGGTATGCATTGCTTGTAGAAATGCTGTGTCTGTGCTTGAACTCCAAATAAATGCATGCTTATTTACATAACTCATTAAAAAGAGTTAGATTTCAGGGCGGCATTATTGTGCATCTTTATGGAAGGACATTATATATTCTGGTACAGAAATTACAGATTTTCTGGAGACTACATAAGTTAGTAATTCTCACCGTGTGAAACTCTATCTGTGCTGATAGAATTATTTTGTTTTGCTTTATACTTTCTTATATAAGGCATAAAAGTAAGCCTGAAATATTTCTAAGCCATATTAGTATCTCATCACTCAGGACACCGAAGCACAGAGATACTGAGGTTGTTACAATAAAAGAATGAAAATTACTACTGCTTTCCAACACTTAAGAACTTTTATATGCCATTAGGGAGGGACTAGTTTTCTGTACATCATTAGTTCTTGCTCCTCTTTACATGTAGTTCTTGAACTCTTGGGAATAGAAATTTTATGTTTGTGAAGTTCTGTATATACACTGTAGTCTTTGAAGAGCTTCAGAAATACTGTGAAGTTCACGTATGCATTCCTACTTTTGGAAGATCCCTGAATATGACACAGTCTTGGAGAAGTTCTTCTTGTATAATGAGTTACTGTATTTTCTGTCTAAAATCAAAGTACACTGATGAAATTTTGCATTTGTAATGGACTATCAGTATTGCCAGAACCTGTGGTTCAGGAAGACTAAACAGCAGAATGATGTGGCTTCAGTTAAAACACTCCTGCTGATAATATCTTTGTTTGAATCACACAAGCATTTGTTTCAGTTTCCTTATTTAAAAATACTGTTTTCTGACCAGCTGTGCTTCAGCAGTGTTGTAAGCATCAGCAAATGTTTATATTTAAGCTTTAAAAATGTTCTATGAAAGCTTCTGTTTATAGCAATGACTGTAATAGGACCCAACATCTCCCTGAGGAATGCAAATCGTGCTCTTTGGCACTGACCCCAACATAAACATGTATACATGCTCCCGTGCCTGAGCAGCACACTGTCATGTCCATGGCACTTTGTGTTGCTGGGGCCATTCAGCACAGTCCAGCTGTAAGTCTAACAATGCTTTTCTCTCGGAATTTAGCTGGAGTTCGGTGTTGGAAAAGTGCAGATGAACTTCCTTCATTTACTGAGCTCAGAAGCAACCCACAGCATCACAGTCCATTGTCTAAACACACCGACGTGGGGATTAACTAGAGCAGGTGACCAGAAGACATCAGTTTCCTTTAAAGGATGGAATGGTCAAATATTTAAAGCGAATACACTACTGGAACCTAAAGTGCTTCTGGACGAATGCATGGTAAATACCTTCTAGCATCACATTATTAAAGTGATGTCAGAGATACTGTTTAGACATTACTAACCTTCTGCAAATAAATAACATCTTTTAGATTCACATCCCTTAAAGTTCTACATATGCCAGCCTTTAGATACTGAATTCATCATCTCTTCAAGGGTAAAAGCAATTGCAGTGATACAGGGTATCTATACTTGCTGTTTGCATTGTGTCTCGTGTATTTTGAGACTGTACAGAAACACTGCAGACACATCAGCACAGAAATAGGGAGATCCTCCAGGAAAATTTAGAAACAGTTACCCTCAAAATGAAAATTCGGGCTTCAGAAATGACATTTGTTAAATTACACAGTTTCATTAGGAACTGCTGATAGAATAAATGTTTTTGTGCACTACTTCTCTTTCACTCTGTAAGCACAATTTTAAATTGTCTTTTGAAGCTCATCTTTTATATGACTCTAAGATGCTTCTCCTGTGTGTTTCAGATTGAAGATGGCAGCTGGCATAAGACACAGTTCTTTTTTCACACTCAGGACACTAATCAGCTTCCAGTTGTTCAAGTTAATGCACTTCCTCGCCTCAAACCAGGACAGCAGCACTTCATAGAAAGTGGCTCCGTATGCTTCCTTTAAGATTTCTGTCTTAGGTTTCTTGTTGCATCAACATGGTGTTACTGCACAGATTGAATACAAAAGTAATGATCCATTGCAGGCAAAATTACTAGGAAACAGAAGAATCATTTCAAGTGTTGTTGGTTCAAGAACCTCAGGAAGAAAAAGACTTCCTCCTAAGGAGAAATTACATTGAAAAAAATCTAAGAAAGAAAATACTAAAGCAATTTTCTTAAAGTATTTAAATTTCTTGGTGCTTTCTTGCATAATTATCTGGAATACAGTATCTGGAGTTTTTCAGGACAATCAAGTGTTCTTAGCAATCTTTTTAACAGCACTGCACAAAAACCATCCTGAGGAAAGCTGGAGGAGATGTATGATACTGAGGAGCAATACTTGCTAATGCTCCTAAATGTGCAATAGCTTTTATATGAAAAGTGAATCATGCCACAGTACAATAAGTCTTCTTGTCTTAACCATTGCTTTATTCCAGTCCTTTGTGGACACACACATCTGAACAGATGGCACACTACCTCTTTGTGTTTCCTGTCCATGTTGCCTTGGTGCTCTTCATAACACAGGGTGCTTGTGGCCTTAGCAGAGATTATTTGAATCCCTTTTTATCTTTCAGACTGTATGTGCTGGTTACATCAGGATTTGTTTCTGTTGTAAAGGTACTTATTTTAAACCGTTGGTCACATACTTCACATAATTGAAAATATTATTTATGTGGATTTCTTGTTTAAAATATTTTTGTGTACTATTTTGGAAATGGTGTATAAGACAGCATATTGTATATGATGCATATAGTCAGAACAGTTTCCGTTACAGCCATTGTGAAAATCGTTGTAAGAGCTACCTAAACTAGTTTTGACTTTAAATTCTGTATTTCAGTTAACATTGCTAATGCCAAAGCCATCTTAAGATGATATATTCTGTATATATTTTGTAACTTCTGAAAAAAATCTACTATAGCGTGTCTTCTGAATGGCTACTGTTAAATTATAATCAGCATTTCATCATCTTAGAAATCCAATTTTTTGCAAAAATTAATAAAAAAATTTGGAATTTTAAAAATAAAACCAAAAAGGTCCAGGAAAGTTTGGTTTGGTTTGGTTTGTGGTAAAAAAAAAAAAACAGACCAACAAGAAAAAAAAGCACTATTTATATAGATACACACACATCTATTATAATTTCAAAGTATGCTCAGCAAGGTGATACCAGACTGTATTTGAGGGAGCCCAGGAGTGTTCAAACAACCTGTCTGTCTTCATCTGCAGTAAGCCACACCACCAAAGTATAATAAAATAATTTTCCAAGCTATCTCTTTGCCTTTTACTATTCTGTTTATATTGTATAGGTCATTCTTAGAAATGGTGAAAATTCTCTAGAAGGGCACTTTTCTTAGGTGGCAGTGTTTCTCTTCCCAAGAAGAAATGCATATGCTCTGTGCCACGGAATACTGCCAGAGGGATGTTTACTTTTACAAAGTAATGTCTGTGCACATCCCATCTTATATTTTCTATCAAAGCATCATTTTTGACCACTTTGATAAAAATCTGATACAACTAAAAACAAGATTACAGAAGGACAAGAAAATGTCTCACTTTTTGTATTTTCAAGATCAATACACTGACATTATGATTTGGCATTTGCTCTGTGTGTGGCTTTGGAGGTGATGTTTTGGCAAATGTTGGGGGTATTTTCTAAGATTACAAATTTTTAGAAAAAGGTCTGCTTCATGTATATTTTTATTCGTCTCATTGCCCTATTTTTGGGAGTCCTTGATTTCAGAAAATACCTATTTTACAAGCAAGGAGCTTAAAGTCTTACAAGGCTGCTCGGATGTGCATTTCCGTAGCTGAGGCAAAGATGCACATCCCAGGCAGAGGGCGGGGACGCGGCCGCCGCAGCGGGACACGGGCAGGTAAGGAATGATGCCCAGGTGTCGCCTGGCCGGGAGGGCCGCGGCGGGGCCGGCAGCGGGCAGGGTGCGGCTCGGGGAGCCTCCGCTGCGCCCTGGGAACCCTCCCTGGCCGGAGCCCGTCCCGGAGCCCCGCGGGTCCCGGTTCCCCTCAGGTCCCGGTTCCCCGCGGGTCCCGGATCCCTCAGGTCCCGGTTCCCCTCAGGTCCCGGTTCCCGCAGGTCCCGGATCCCTCAGGTCCCGGTTCCCGCAGGTCCCGGATCCCTCAGGTCCCGGTTCCCCGCAGGTCCCGGTTCCCTTCGGGTCCCGGTTCCCCTCAGGTCCCGGTTCCCCGCAGGTCCCGGTTCCCGCAGGTCCCGGTCCCCCTCAGGTCCCGGTTTCCCTCAGGTCACGGATCCCTCAGGTCCCGGTTTCCCTCAGGTCCCGGTTCCCTCAGGTCCCGGTTCCCCTCGGGTCCCGGTTCCCCTCAGGTCCCGGTTTCCCTCAGGTCCCGGTTCCCCTCGGGTCCCGGTTCCCCTCAGGTCCCGGTTTCCCTCAGGTCACGGATCCCTCGGGTCCCGGTTCCCCTCGGGTCCCGGTTCCCCGCGGGTCCCGGTTCCCCTCGGGTCCCGGTTCCCCGCGGGTCCCGGTTCCCCTCAGGTCCCGGTTCCCGCAGGTCCCGGATCCCTCAGGTCCCGGTTCCCCTCAGGTCCCGGTTCCCCGCGGGTCCCGGTTCCCTCAGGTCCCGGTTCCCGCAGGTCCGGGCGCGGCTGCGCTGGGGCTCGCCGCCGCCAGGCGGCGCAGCGGAGGCCGCGCGTGCCCCGTGTGGCCCCGCGGCGCGGCCATGGCGGAGCGGGCCGGGCCCGGGCGGGCGGCGGGCGGCGGGAAGATGTCCCTGCACAGGTACGGCGGGGCTTCGGGAGCGCCTCCCCCGGGGCTCGGCGGGTGGCCCTGTGCCCTGCAGCTCCCGCACGGGGAGGCCCGACCGAGCGAGGGGCTGCGCGCTGCCTCCGCCCGGGGCTGAGCCTCCCTGCAGCGGTGATGGGCAGCGGGCACGGCGGAGATCCTGCGGGGCAAGGAAAGGGAATCCCTGTTCGGAATAACTCCCCGTTTCTGCTTTGCAGTGGTTGAAACCCTTTTTTCCGGTTCTTAGAATGGCTTTGTGCTGCTAAGTCGCAGCTCGTCGGGCGATGGTATCGCTGGGCTTGTCCTTCAGGCCCTCGCTGGCAGCAAACAGCGAACACGTGGGGGGGAGAGGAAGAGAAATGGGTTGGGGCTGGCGCTTGTCCCCTTGGAGCTGAGAATGGTGCCTTTGTACTCTTCTCGAAAGCTTTACTGGTGCGGGGAAATGTTATTCCTCTTTTCTCTTTGTCAGATTTAAAATAAGAGTGGTGATTATTTCAGTTGACATATAGAGATCTTTTGGAGAAACTTTTGTTTTGATAGCCTAGTTAAAACATGGTCATATTTGTAGAGGAATATAATTTTTCACTGGTACTTTTTAGTTGAATTGATAAATCTTACACATTTTGCCTGAAAGGTTCCCTGACTTTGGAGTTTGCCCTGCTGACAGCCAGAAGTTGTTTGGCTGACCATGTTGTCATGCTCTTTTTGTTCCAGTGAAAAAAATGGGATGTATTGTTCAGGGTTTAGTGTAAATCCATTAAGTTTATTTTCCATCTGCCTAAAGCTGGAGTATTATAAACCAGCATGGTAGAGTGTACAGTACAGGTGATCAAAAGGAGAAAAGCACAGGCCACAAAGCATAAGCTGATAAAGGCTTCTTGTGTTTCCAGCTTTTCAGTTAGCATATGGGTTTTTTTTCTTTCAAGCATCTACAATGTTTTAATATGTGTGTGTATGAAGATACTCCACATAGCTTGTGTTGTTTTGTCTGCCACTTTCCCTAATCCAGGATATTTGTATTTTTTCTTTCTCCTTTCAAGGTGCACTTAAAATAGCTTTTCCTGAAAATACTGGTGGCCTAGCACCTGGTTTTTGAGCAGGCACTTGCACAGGCCAGCCAGGTGCAAAAATGCTGCCTTGTTGAGAAGTGGTTTTTAATTCTTTCAGGTGTGAAACCTGTGGCAAAGAAGAAGCTAAGTACAGATGTCCACGATGCATGAAATATTCCTGCAGGTATCTGTTATCTGAACTAAATAGTTTTGATTATTTTCCCCACTCATGTGCTGAACATGTTAATTCCATTTTTTTTGTCATTTCAGCCTGTTGTGTGTAAAGAAACATAAGCTTGCACTGAGCTGTAATGGAGTCAGAGATAAAACAGCGTTTGTCTCTGTGAATGAATTTACTGACTTGAACCTTCTGAGTGGTAAGAACATACTGTGTGTGTTCTAAAACTCCCTGGTTTTACTAGGCTGGCACTACTTTTTTTTTTTTTTGTTCTATTTAACCTTCAGATTATCGTTTCCTGGAAGATGTAGGAAGGACAGCTGATGCTGCTGCTCGACATTGCCTTGTGCATAGTCCAGCAACAAAAAGACTTGTAAGTTTTTGATTCTCCTTTTGCTCTGTTGGAATTAGTCAGCTACCTCTGAATTCCCACTGAGGTAGTCCCAGTCCAGATTCCAGAGTTGGTACCTGTCTTATGAAGGTATGAATGACTCTGAAATTTAGAGCCAGAAATCAATAGAAGTCTCTAGGTTATGCAGCAATAGTATTGATGGCTACATCCAGTTGCTTGGAGGAAAAGATCACTAACATTTCTTAAAATTTATGCATGACCAGTGTTGCTGTTGGGTGATAGATGTGTGTTAAGAAAGTCTGAATGTTTGTTTCCTTACACCTCCACAACTTTTGAATTTTTAAGTACACGCTTCCTAGGTAAACAGTGGATTTATTAATCACCTAAATATTGTTATATGGTTCCCTATATACCAAATTAAGACAGCTAGAGCTCTTCAAAGACTAAATCTAAGCAAGAGTGACATAAAAGATAGCCTTCTAAGGGAGAAGGGATTTTTGTTGATGCTCTTTCAGCAACCAAAGACACTCCCAAAACTAAAAACAATGAACAAATAGACAAAACCCAAAAAAGCCCAACCAACTCTACTCCAAAGTATTTTGATTTATTGATAAATCACAAAAAGATATCAGGGCCAGTTTGTTTTCTAGTCTTGTGAAGATATCTTGAAATACAGCCCTAAACTCAGCACTCACATTGATGACGGAATAAATTCAGAAGACACCAGCTTCCTCTCTTGCTGGAGTCATATTCCATATGTGTGTATTTAGCACTGTGATGTCCCGAAGAAGGTGAGATGCTGCATGGGTGCCAGTTTTAGGGGTGTGCTACTGGGCGTGTTAATGGGATGATGCCCTTAGTGCTACCTTCAGAACACAATTTGGCAGTGGCTGGGATTGTGCTTGAATATCCATTCTGCCAGCAGGTTTGTAGCCTGAAAGGCATCCTTGTGGTATTACACCCACAATGGTGACACTGTGACTTTCATGATATGTTAAAGAACTTTTTCTATGAGGAGATCATTGGCATGTCCTTTTTTAATAGCAAAAAAAACTTAGGAAAATGTTTCAGAGAGTTTCTAGGCTTAGTTAATTTTTTTCATTCAGGATGTTTCTTTAAAAAACTAGAGTATTTCATTAAATATGGCCTTTTCAATAGTATTCTCATAATTCCTGTCACCCTTTTATTGTTTAATTTTCAGGGGATTTATATATTCAGATTTTTTTTAAATGTTTTTATTATATTTTTTGCCAGTTATACTGCTTGAGGAACAAAGCTCGAGGGTATAATATTGAGCTAAAAACACTGCCTATTGGATTTACAAAAAGAAGAGAAAATTCTACCACCTTCAATTTCGGGTGAGTCTTCAGTTGGTTACAATCAGCAATATTTTGAGTATATACTGATGAGAATTTGAGTTCATACCAATATGCTTGCTTTAAAATCCATTAGATGCATGTTTTTTTGCAAAAGCTTTTTAATATTTCATGCTTTCATGTTTTCATTTTGTTTAGGTTCTTTGAGCTCAGTTTAACAGCTTACATAGTTCATGCTTTATTTTGAAAAATGCTAACATTGGGTAATGGAACAAAGAATCAGTGCTGTTGTGGTCTTTTCTTTAAATTAACGCTTAGGTTTTTTGCTGGAAAAAGAAAATGCATATTTGGAGGTTTTATGATAGAGGATTGTTTGATGTAGAAAGCTTGCACAAATCCCAATCTCTGCAAAGAGAGGTGCTTCAGTACCTGTGTTGCATTCTGTGGTGGGAGTTGCTGTGCTAGAGAAAAGGAATGTTGGATATGGCACAGCTTAGAGAGACAAGTGCAGACAGATAGAAATTCAGGAAGGAGGCTAAGGAAAATTTAAATATTTCTTCCTTTATCCACTCTCTGTTTGTTCTCTAATATCCAGAGATTGTATTTTAAAGTATTTTTGCAGTGAAAATGAAAGTTATGATGAACTATTTCACTGTGACAGGACTCAGGTCTACAGTTCAGCTCAGTGATATACTGGGGTCAAATAAAAATGCCTTCTGAGTGTCAGTGACATCCCTGATGGCTCATATCCCTATGATGGCTTCTTTACTTGTTTTGTTCGTGGTTTTGGTGGCAGTTTGTGTTTTCAGGATGTGTTTTCCCTCTGTTCTGGGAGCTGTGCACTCCACGGTGTCGGTCTCTGGCTGGCCACCAGAGGTCTGTCTCTGACAGAGCAATAACCCACCTGGAAACTGCTAACACACCCACCTGGGTCCTTGAGGCTGCTCCAGGGAAAAACACAAGCAGGTTTGGTTTTGCACGCAGAGTAGATTTTAGCAGAGCATTAGGCATCAAATAGATGTAGAAGTGTAACCTTTTGAAGTTACATATTTTACGAGTTCTGTTAGAGAAAACTCAGACTGAACCAACGGAAAGAAAGGGTATCTGAGGTATTTCTCCTCCCTCTGCCCCAGATTTATAGATCTCCTCTCAGAACAGACTAGGCCAATCCCGGACTTTGCAGAGGTGTCTTCCTCTGCACTGACTTCCCTGTATTTGGCTGCATGCTCTCCCTTATACCGATCCCTTTTACTATTCTCATCCTGTAAGAAGGTTCAGAGCTGAGCTTCAATTTAATGGGGAATTTCCTCAGTGTTACAGATAAAATAAACATAATTAACAAGTACAGGGTAGGGAGCAGCCCTCAAGAGCAAGTGCAGGAAGCCCAGGAATGCTGGGATCAGTAGGTAAGAGGACAGAAGAGGCACAGAGACAGATTTGACACTGTTGGGAAGATCCTGGCCATGGTAGAGTGCTCTGCTGACAGACATTTGGCTTCATGGACAGTTTCCTTTTTTCTCTAGAAAGCTTTTTTGGATACACACTGAAGTGTAGCTTATGCTGAGGACAAATTAAGAATGGGGCAAGGAAGGTGATTTCTTGGCAAATAGGCATGGAAATATTTCACAGGCTTTCTTGTAAAATGCCTTACTGGTTGGTGTCATTCATAAAGTCCTGGGGAACTTTTGTTGTTTCTGTGGAATGGTAGCTTTTCTGGAACTTTTACATCCCACCAGAAAGGACTTGATAACATTGTCTGTCCTGAAGACAATAGGAAATCACTGTCCTTTTCTTGCAAATGCTGTCCAAGGGTATGGAATATGCTAAGTGATTATTACAAAAAGGATGTATTTCCTCTCTATTGCTGCTATTGGCATTCACACAACAATGGACTGTTTGAATCCAGTGAGGCAGATTAAAAATTAACTCCAGGTTTTGGGGATTTTTTTTTTATTGGTTTTGGTTTTTTAAATGGCATGTTCTGTGTTCTAAGGAATCAAGTTTGGTCAAGCCAACCTGGATTATCAGGCATTTAGCACCTGTGTCATGGGACTTCATGACAGCCATAACATTTTGTTGAATATCACATTGAAATGAGGTAAAGCTATGCAGATAGTCATATATCCATTATATGGGCTTAGCACCTGACAGTGCTCAGGATCAGGTGTGTCCCTCTCCTGTAGATGTGAGTCCCTTCTCATGCTGTTTATCAGTCAGATTTGTAGACAGATTACTCCAGAGGGTGGAGACCGGAAGCTGCTCAACATCTGTGCATGGAAAACAGAACAGGCTTCTCCCATGTCCTCTTGACACTCTCCCTGCGAGCCAAGCTGTTGGGCAGTACAAGGCAGGAATGAGAGTAGTCCAAAGCTAGGAAGTACAAGATGTATTCTTGTGTCATCCCCTGCCCGTGCCAGCGCTGGAAGACACATCAGTGTTGTTTCAATGTGTTAGCCAGACTCTCCATTTCCTGGATTCCATGAGTTTGTTTGCTACAGCTGATGTTGTGAAAGCATATGTGCCAATGCTGGGCAACGCATGGATTAGACTAATGTGTAAGATTGAATATCTAGGTAATGGAGGGCCATTAGAAAGTAGTGTCTGACTCCAGGGTGTGAACTCATGGTGTGTTTGACTTATTCATAAATTACTTTTGAAGCACTGCTTCACCCTAAATTTCCTGTCATGCCCTTATTTTCAATACAGCTGAGAGTTTCCCACTGGATACATTCTTCCATGGCGTTGATGGGGTGAATTGCTGGGATAGAAAGCCTCTGGGAAAGGGGTGAAGGGTGAGGCCAGGCTGAAACTGAAACCATCTGGAAGGCTCCAGCCAGCAGGTCAAATGGGAAGAGGGGAATGAGCTTGCAAGTCCATGGCTCCTGTTCCCTGGCAGAAGATAGTGTAGTAAGACACTGAAATGGAGCAGTGCAGTTTCCTGAGCTCTGCAGCTTGTGCTGCCCTACTCCAGCCCTCCCTGCTGCTTGCACTGTCATAGACATCCCCAGCCAGCTTCCTCCACAGTCCGTTCACAGCATATCTCCCAGAGAAAATCCTTTTTACCTCTCCTCCCCACCAAGAGGGGCCAGAGGTCTACAGACTTCTCTTGTAGCAGGCATGCTTCCACCTGGGAGCATTTGGTCAGAGGATATATGTGGGAGGAGGAAGTTTTACATTACCTCACCTCTTTGATGTAATTGTGAGGAAAAAAATACAGTGTGGAGATTTGGGATTAGGGTAATCTCTTTTAGGAGATCATTATTGTTACACTTGGAGGTACACTTGAAAGTTGTAAAATGTCAGCTCTAATCCTTAGCTGGGTAGAGATAATTACAATTATTGTTTGAAATGTAGATTTTGAGAATATAGCGAGGAGTTTTGTGAACTGGGTTTTGACTTAATATAACACCACTGGAGCTCTTAAACTTGAATTTAGTTGTTACTTAGTACATGGGTTTGCTCGCTTTCTTGGACCCATGAAGAAGAAAGTAAGTTGAGGAAGTCAATATTATCCAAAACTATATGAGCTGAATGCCCAGTACTTCAATTAAACTTCAGTGCATTCTGAGAGAGTACTGGGTATTTTCAGATGAAAGGATAACTGGTCTGACATTAAACCTCATGTCTTTTTAATCACTTCTATGGATTCAAAATGAAAGAGACAGGAAATACTGCAGTATTTGCACTTTTGACGTAAGATATCCTGTATACTAATATTTTAAGAATACTAGTTGCTAAATTGAAAGAGAATCATCAGTGAATCACTATCTTTGACAGGCTGCCAGTGTAATACTTCTGTAGAACCAGAACTGTAGTCAATCTTAAGATGTGATGAATTTGGATTTTTTGTTAATATTTTAGTTTGCATATATATATATATATATATATATATATATTTAAAAACACCTTCTAAACATGTTTAAAACAGTTCTGCTGTATTGTAGGCAAAACTGAGAGGAAATGCTCAGAGGAAGCCTAGAATTAATGTTTATGAGATATTTCATATATTTTTTAAGAACTATGTAAACGTTAGACACTTCTGCCAAGGCACTTAACAGGTATGTCCAAGTCCAGAATCCTTTGTAGATAAGTCCTTTAATTCCCAGCAGCTGTACTGTCTACAGTCACAGTTTTTTGAGCATCTTCTTAGGTACTGCTGTAACTGTAAATGTAGTGAAAATTATTGTGGTTGGTCTGAGAGCCAGCTGGAAGATACAGCCACTTTGTATATACTGCTGCTGTCTTTGTAACATCAGAAGTAAAAATGTTTCCATTGTTGCTGTGAGAAATTTTTAAATCATCTACATGTAGTTCTGGGGCAACTACAGTTGATGACAAAGGAAATTTTTGGAAGTTTTAGGAGAAATGAAAGTCACTTTTTGTAGAACTGTAGTTGTGAAACAGCCTGCGCAGTTCTGAATGCATTTTGCATCTACATCTCATGCAAGGAGAGGGGTGCTTGGCTCCACTTTTCCCTCTGATTCATTTCCATGCTTCTGAAGTAGCCAGAATAGGAGATGAAGCCAAGCAGTGCAGGGATGGGTTATAATGATACTTTTACTGACATCACTGAAGTGCCTGTGCTTCTCCCAGATCTCTGCTGTTGGGTACTTTTATAGTCAGTGCCTTGGTAGCCAGAAAACCAGGGCACTGTTGGAGGGGCATTCCATGGCAGCTGAGTGGCATGGAATGCTTCATGGAATGAGCTGTTACTCCAATGCAGATGACTTATTCAATTAGGCATTTGCATTTAGAAAATGAACATTCTACATGTCCATTGCATTTGAAGGAAATACTACCCCAGTGAGCCATAATGGAAAATTAAGTAAGTGGGATCTGGAGCCAGGGTATCTGACTTTGATCAGAACTTGTTGTGAAGCAGCCGTGATAGCATCTACAGCTGACATCAAGTTCTTTGGGCACACATCAGTGATGGTGAGGGAGGCTTCACTTCAATAACAGGCACCCAGCAGGTTGTTTTTCAAGACTTCATTATAGTGAAGAGTATGAGGCTATTCCTGTTCCAAGCTTCTTTTTTTCTTGCCTACATCTATCCTGTTCTTAAACTGTCTTGCCTCCTTCTGCTTACCATTTACTTCCAGGCAAGAGTACTTTGAAGAGAGATTTAGTCATTAATTGCTAGTTATGGTATTAGTTTGCTGAGGAAAAAAAATCAACATTTCTGTTTTTTTCAAAGTGGAACTTTTTGATGATAAATGAGCTTTTTAACTTCAGCTTCCCTGATTGACTTTCTGTGCACTATTCCATAGACTGGATTGTGCCTGGAAGGGGCAGGGAGGGCGGAAGTCTGAGAGCAATCCCCTAAGCTGATTTTACAGCTGCAGTGATGAACTGAGTCTGCCTCAGTGAGCCCACAGGGAATCAGTCTTGCATGTGAAATGAGGACGTGCTGTGTGACAACCATTTACAGACACATGTAGAGTGTTCCTAGCAACAAGTAGCAGATAGCTAGTTCTTTTTGGAGCATTTCTTTTTCAAGTGCCTGTGTTAGAGACAGTCCTGTGGGCCACGTACATGTCACAGAAAGGGTCACTTAGAATAGATGAACATGGCCTATTTGAAAAAATTGTGGAAGATGGCGAGTTAAATGAAAACATGCTACCAAGCCTCTTGTTAGTTAATAATATAAAACAAACCCCTCATCTGAACAGTCCTTATAAACGTTTTAATAAATGTGCCCATCATAAGTGTTTCCTTCAGCTTATGTTGGTGACCCTACTTCTGGGTCTAAAGCTTACTAACTTTACTAGTCTCCCTGGGAAAGTGCTTTGAAATAACACCATTCCATCTTAAATGGCAGATATTAACATGTCTGAGAGGAATCACAAGCTTGTTAATCACAAGAGAACTTAACTAGTTATTGATATTCCAGTTTGCTGTGTGTATGATAGCATTGGTGCTTCCTTCAGCTGTCAAGATAAGAATTGCAAAACCTTGTTTTATTTACCTTGCAAAAAACTCCCAAAATTCCACTCAATGGTTTTGAGTTATTTCAAAACATTTTGCAGTCTGGTAATTTAAGACTGTCATACCAATATGCAAAAGAGTATAAAATTAATGGGCCCAAATACTATGGTTATTGTGGTTATATATATACTATATGATTAATAATATTTTCTGTGTTACCCTCCAGCTTTGGCCGTACAATCTTCTTACCTCTTCCAGACCTGACGTTCTCTAATTCCACATTCTCATTCTCTACTTTAACAAACATGAGCAGAAAGAAGGGAGGAATCACAAGGCATGCTGCACATCTCTGCTGAGGCATGCATTGCTTTGGGAACCCTGGACTTCATTAATTAGTTTTATTCTAATTAATACTTTCTTGAAGATGGGGGTTCCTGCTTGCTCTTTTTTTGATAAATACTAATACATCAGATTTTACTCATACTCCAGAAAGTATAGTTCAGCTGTAAAGCTCATTTTTCTCCTAGGAACAATTAGGTAAGGGAATTACTTGTTTAATAAGCTCACTTTATAAAAAGTGCTTGCATTTAAAAATTGGTATCACAGTTAATTGATCTTAGCAGCTAAGTTTACTACTTTGCTAGCGCATGCACGTACACTCCTCTCTGCAGCCAGCTAGAACCTGCTGGATAATGTTTCATGCGCCTTATAAACAAATTAAACAACATGTTGGAACAACACTGTGTTTACTTTTTATTGTAGACCTGAATCTTTTGCATAACTGAGGATGATTCTCCTGGATGCAATGATTCATCTTAATAATGTTTAAAAAAGTAGTTAAAAAAAGACATCATTAGATGTCCCCATGGTTCGCAGGTGTTTGATCTCTGATTTTTAAATCTTTTCTGTTTGTCATGAGTGTGAATTTCTGAACCAGAGCAAAAGGCCAGGAACCTACCTTTTAGATTATGCTTTCTCTTAGGGAATTCTTTTAGAAAATTTCTGCAGATTTTCTGCAAATGAGCAAAAAGGCAAATAGAGACTCCCTGATGTAGCATTCTCTAGAAATACTGCCTAAGATGATGCTGTTCTCAAGCTATGCTTTAGTAGCTTCTGTTCTCAGGTATTACTTAATGCTAGCACTAAAGGGAAGGTGGGTCTTAAAAATAAGACCTAACATACAGAAGAAAGGAATGTGGCATCACTTGGTCTCTACCAGAAGTTTTACGATCTTTCTGTAAAATGTTTGTTCTTTCTAACTTCTCTTCTCCATGTTATGTCAGAAGGCAGCTTCCTTCCCTGGCCATGACATATTTTCTGTTCAGGCCATCATTGCTGGAAAAGGTTGGGTGCCCTGTGTTCTGTAGGACCTAGGCTCACCTGGGAGTCTGGCTATTATTGTTGTAGAGGTTTGATAATCTGTCCTGGATGATGTGCCAAAAAGCAGTTTCCTTTTCTGAAGTTAAAGGGCAGCTGGAACATACTCACTTTGAAAATGTGAAATATTGTTGATCAGTTAATTGGTGGTATCGTATTATATTTGTAAGGAACAGATTTTAATTCCATGAAGATTTGAAGTTTAGCAGGATGTGGGAGTATTACATCTTTCAAAGGACATCTCAGCTTCTCTGCCTGCCCCTTTTGCTCTTTCAAGCCATTCAAAATCTTAACCATGTATTTTCTTCTGCACCTGTGCTGTAGGTTACCAAGCTTTATCACAGAAAAAAAAATGGTAGTTGTTGCCAACTAAGACTAAGAATATGTATTTCTTTTCGTTTTCAGGGAGAACAAGTTCTACTGGCATTTGAAGCTCATATTTCCTCACTGTCATGCTGAATACACTTTAAAAGGGTACAGGACTTTAAAAAATATTTTTCTAAAGTTTAAATTAATCTGCTGAAGTTAAACTGCAAAATACTTTGATTGATTCTTACCAAGTTCTGTTATACAAGGTAAACTCAGGTATTAATTTTAGTCTTAAATAAAAGAGCATTTCAAGCTAAAAAATATTGAAAGTTGTGTAGTGCTTTTCTCTTTGAAAGCTAGCAGACTTTCCAAATCAGGCCTAATGTATGTTAGTCCTTTTCTCTGTGTAAATAGTGAGTTTGTATATTCATAATAGTAGTACCCCTACACCTGACATACTCTCTTCTCATGGAGCAGATGTCCAGCACAATTTGCAACCCCTCCTCACCTGCACTCTGGAGCTGACCTTCATACAGGGTGAAACGTTTGCTTTGTAGGAAAATCCACAAACACATTTTGAAAAGGCAAAAAAAATAAGCTTTTATTGACAAATGTTTCTCCTTTTTTCCTAGCCTGAAGGGAGATGAGAATTATGTGCTTGTCTGCTCCTAGGGCTGCAGGAACAGCATGTTTCTTTCACAGGGTTAGAAACTAGAGATACGCATCTGTTTACTCCTCATACGTGCCTGTGAAATCCCAGTGCTGAAACTGAGATAAAGCTACCCATATCTGTGCAGTATTGATACACATTTCTGATCCTCCCATAAACTACTCAGCTGTGCCACTGTAGCATGCTAATATCCAGCTTCCTCCAGGTGACTCACAGTAGACATTTGTGTACATGATGAAGGATGTCTCACATGCTTGATTTTTATCTTGCTGAAAGGGTGCCTGACGATAAAACACTTGCTGATATCCTCAAGCCATACATTGATCCAGTGGAGTCAGATCCTGTAGTTTGTCAAAGGTGTGTATTGAATAACTTCCCTGCCTAGTTGATCTAATGCACTAATAAAAGGGAATGGTTCTGAATATATGGCTTAAATTAGCTGCACTATCAGCTTGCAGAGCTGAGTTCCCAGTCAGCAGTACATCTTTAATTTCTTTAATGAAAACCATCCTAACATTCACCAAATAACTAACCCAGGGGGTCCAGCCACCAAATTTAAAACAGCAAAAAATTAAGAAACTGACTTACAGCATAAAGACCAAATAAAGCAACTGTAATTCTGAAAAATGTAACCATAATTAACTTCAGTGGAGGTGACAATAAACCTCCAGAATAATTGCAAAAACATGCTAATAATTACAACCCTCATTTATGGAAAAAACCTAATATGTGACAAATTATTGTTTTAATGAAAAATACATTATTTTGGCAGTTGACATGCATAAGAGATCAGTCTCTTATGGATGACAGGAAGAAAAGTCATTGTACATCACTTCTGCATCTTTACCACTTTTTTTTTTCAGATTAAAAATCTATACAGCATCTCCTCAATCAGATGTACAGATTTTAATGAAAATAGAAAACAGGAACCGAAACTCTGTCAGGTAAGGTGGTTCTTCAGTTTATGTGCTTACTAATTAGAGGTAACAAGAAGATTTAATACATTTCTTAGTCCTTAATATTACAGTTGGAGATTACATAATCTCATGGATTAAACTTCAATGAGTAATTACAAATGGATATAAAATTTATTTGGCAAAAATTCTTGTTCTTAGTCTTTTAATATGTCAGCGTTGACGTTTCGGTACAATTATCGAGTGAGTGTGCCTGTACCTAAACTGCTTCAGCAGCAGTCCATGCCAATGTAACAGGGGACAGGTTTGTGTTAAAATGCTAAATAACTGTATTGGCCCACAGAAATGCATACATCCATTTCTTTCTGGAAGTTCTGCTGTGGATATGTTAACCTCCCAGAGGGAGTGGAAGTGATAGTCAAGGAGAGTTATCTTTTTAAATTAGCAAACCAGTCACTGCATTTGAAATTACACATTTTTCTCAAAGTGACTTGCTCATCACTCTTCATGTTACCATATTTCTGGGTGTGGGCTTTTATGTCTTCAGAATTCAGACTTGTGCAGAAGTGTTTTATTTGTTTTCAGAACAAACAATAATCTTGAACTTCAAAATTGAGCTTGAAATAAATATTTTTTGCTAGTATAAATACCATTCTGAACACTCCACCCTGTTGTCATTGTTACTGAAAAGGATATGTATCAGCTGAGTAGCACAACTTACTGTGGTTCACCAGTGATTCCTAGTTAGGCATCTGAAATTGCATTCTTGTCTTCAAATGTAAAAATGTAAATAATATGCTTCCTTAAAATATGATACATTATTTCTAAGAGGGAAATAAGCATATATTGTAAGAATTTTAGCTGTAATTTAGCTTCCAGTTTATGGTGGGGATTTTTCCCAATAATATTAAAAAAATGTGTAGTGTACTTTCCAATTCAAATTCAAGTGCAAATTCTTAATTATTTTGCTTGATTTTTTTTTCTCTTTGCAATCATTATTTGATATATGGTTGTAGCATTTGCCATCAGAATTGCCAGCTAGAAACCTGTTGTTTTTAAGTGAATTTGAAGATACAGAGCCCTGGTTCTTATAGGCAGGAAGAAAATATGAAAGGCTTTGGGCTGCCCAGTACCCTGTGTCTGAGTGTTGTAAGTGTGGGAATATTGAGTTCTCATTTGTGGACACTGAAATTGTAAGGGACCAGCTGTTTCAGCTGAATATTCAGAAGTCCATGAATCTGGATGGGTTTCATCCCAGAGTCTTGAAAGAGGTGTTGGGTGTTACAGCAAGTCCTGTCTTTATCATGTATTAAAAGCCTTGGGATCATGACTGGATGTCATGTTTTAACCTAGCTAAACACAGCTCAGGTACTCACACAACACCTCACATCCCCAGAAAGGGATGGGGAAGAGATTGAGTAAGTTAAAATTCTTGTATTGAGATAAAGATAGTTGAATAGGACAAAAAAGGAAAGGATGAGAATGATAAAAGAATTAGAATATACAAAACAAGTGATGCCCAGCAAAGTTGCTTGCCCTCCACTGACCAGTGTCCAGCCAGTTCCCAAACATCAACGTCCAGCCAATTTTTCCTTTAATTTAATTTATTTGCTGTTAATATTACCATGTGTGATACAATATCAAATATCCCTTTGGCCAGTTGGGATCAGCTGTCCTTGCTGTGTCTTTTCCCAGCTTCTTTTGCCTTCCAGCCTACTTGCTGGTGGGGTGGTGTGAGGAGCTGAAAAGACCTTGACAGTATAACCAGTGGTATTTCTCACTCTCTTTTTTAAGAAAGAAGGAAAAGTTGTTTATTTAACAGCTGTGTAGAAGGTTTGGAAAAGAAACCAGTTTAACATAGAAGTAGACTGTCTCATGTGCTCATTACTTTTTCATTACTTAACCATTTGCCTCTTCTGAAGTATCTATACCGTTTCCTTATGTCACAGATTTGAGCAGGAATTCTTTTTCATTAAATTAAATTAACCTAAATATTCTCAAGTCTGAGACTCATCTGTATTCCCAGAATTGGCCCGTGTTAATTGATAATGAGTTTGGAGTAATTGGTATTTATCCCACTTAGTGGATGTAAAGTCTAATGTTCAGGAAAAACCAGTAGAAAGATAAAATAGAAGTGTATCATGACTTGAGAACTGCAGTTCCTCAGTTGGAAATTATGTGAATCTCTTCGTCTAAGTTGGTGGAGCAGGCCCAGCTGGGGTGGTGCAGACAGGTCAAGGAAACAGCATACTGGAAAAAAAATTCCCTCTCTGAAAGGAAAGAACAAAGTTTGTTTGAAATGGTGGGACAGCTATGTCAGCATACAGTCACTTCTGTCAACATAAGCTGTGTCTGTGGCAGCAGGCACTCAGAACGGTTGTTGTGACAAAGGCTCTGTGAGGGAATTCAGATTTTTACTGTAGTTGCACTACAGATAAGTAAGAGAGAATTTGTTTCAATTTTTTGTCCTTTTGGTTCCATGTCCCTAAGTTAATTGAGAGTATTGGCTCATACTCTGTGAATCAATAGCTGGAATTGCAGTGGAAGTACTTGTGATTGAAACATGACCTGCTTGCTGCTTAGTGGTCTTTTCTATGGATCAAAAACTGAGTGGAGACAGATCTCTCTCACCTTTCTTTATCTATGTTTCTTTAACAGTGGGAAGCATTAACTGCTATGCCTCCTCATTCTGTGTGATTTTAGGCTGTATGTTTCTGTATGGCAAAATGCTCTTCCATCACTTTGTGGGCAGACTGAAGGAGTAGGATTGATGTAGACTACTGATACATGTAAGTCTACACTAATGTTTTGTTATCTACAACTCCTGTACCCACCAGAAAAAATTCTACTCCACAAGCACTAAATGATAGGAAAGTTGTAAACATACGTTATTACGTCAGATGTTCGTTTTGGGCTTAGCAGAACCTTCTGCAAAAAAATCCTTTTCCATAGTTACAATTTTGTGTTATTGAGGCAGTGCAGTGGTGTTTCACAGAGTATCTAAGCAGGATTATGGAATGTTAAGTCTTCTGGTTTTAAGATAAGTATGTTACAGAAGGATTTTAGTATTTCCTGCAATTGTTTATGAAACAGGAGTTTGTGGTTTAGTTTTGGCTGTTTTCTGTGTTTCAAAGCCGATCATCCTTTTAGTTTGAAGGTCCTTTATAGAATGCTTTAAATTTTTGGGGTTTTATTTTTTCTTTCTCCAGAAATATAAATTAGCAATGAAGTACTGATTTCTGCTTTCTCACAGGAGTTCTGTGGAACTTCAAAAAGCCACTGGTGTGCAGATATCATGGATGGCTGCCAAACACAAATCCTTGCTTTATTCTTGCCATGTGTCTTACCATCAGTGGTGACAGTTCTCAGAGAACATTACCTGTCATCTCATGCTCTGTAACTCTTAGTTACACTTGGTTTATCTTCTCATTTACTACACTTACTTCATGAGGAATCTTTCAAAGGAGGGTTTCAAAAAACAAGCATTACATAACTCTCTACTGCATTTGAAACCTTTTGGTTTTAAATGAAGTTTCAAAAAAATATTTGACCTTTTGAATGGGTCAGAATAGTTTTCCATTTGGAACTGCTTGCTTCAATCACCTGTTATGCAATATTTAGTTAGCATTGGTGTCTCTCCGTTCTCTCCTTATCTGTAACTATTCCAAGAAAGGTTTAACTTCTGCATCTTGGATGATTTTTATAGTCTACATTCTTTCATAAAGTAGTATTTTCTTTCATCAGGATAAATTAGTGTCCTGACTGTCTTCAGACATTTATTTGGGATGTCTTCAAGGTGACTTCATATACTAAGAGTATTGCTTTTTCCAGTAAGGAAAGGAAAGGTGCAACAGCCAAATTACACAGTGTGGTTTGGGAAATACACCTTCTTATTTTCATGAGAATAGCCTTATCAGGCTTTGTGTAACAAAAAAACTAAACCAAAACCGCAACCAGCCCTTCCAAAATCAAAAAGATCCTTGGTCCTTTTTATTAGTAAGTTAGTAGTCAGAGTTAGGTTGTTTTGTAACTGCAGATACTTAATGAGAAATTCATTTACTCAGCCTGATCATAAGATAAATATTTAAGAGTTACTATATATAACTTAATTTGCAGTACATACTTGCAGAGACAAATAAATCTAAATGAGGTTAAATCACAAAAATTGAATATTTCTTTTACTGGGTTCAGTAACATCTTTCATGGATCTAGTTTAGATAGTTGACATTTTAATTACATGCATAGGATTTAATAGGATTGAAAAATAATGCTTTCTTAAACATCATTATTAGGTCTTTTATATAGTAATGTTCTTTATTGGCCTGTTCAGGGTAGCATGTGAGCATTGTTTCAGAATAAGTTGTTGCAGAAAACTTTTTGGGGATTTGAAGGTCAGAGTATGCACTGGCAGAATATTTTTGGTGCATGGAAAATTCAGTCTGGTTGGCTTTAAGAGCTTTGCAAAGGCCACTGCTTTCAGTAGAGCAAATCCATGTAGGAGCTGGAGTACAGGAGAGTACCAGACTATATCCTGCCACTTTCCTGTTGTAAAACTGACACATCATAGAGAGATGGATACAAATCAGTTGTAGAATTGTTTTCTGTATCAGTAGTACTGGTGTAGCTCATGATTCAATTACTCAGAAAGAAAAAAATACCAAAAGAATTTTTGTGCCAGTTCCAACATCAAGAGGCTTCTTAACTGTCTGTGGTGGCACTGGCTGGGGCACATGAGAATAATGGCATGTTTGGCACTTAGTTCTTGTGGACCACAGGGAAGAAAATCTGCTAAACAAGTATCAGAGGTTCTCCTCTACAAAATGCCATTGTTTTATGGTGGTGAACACTTCTTTTGCTTTAACTGATTTAATTCAGTTGCTTTCCAGAAGGCTGGATGATGTTAGTAATTTTGGATCATTTCCCTGTCTCAAGATCAGCTGGCAGAAATGAAAGTTATTTCCTTGGATGACTTAGCTCTATGCTCAAAGAGAATTTTCTTTTGTAGTCTATTGTTTTTAAATAACTATGGG